CCCCAAAACCCCAAAACCCCAAAACCCCAAAACCCCAAAACCCCAAAACCCCAAAACCCCTACTCTAACCTCTAATATTGGATCTGAAATGTTTACTTTAAATAGCTAATCTACAGTTAATTTGCCGTTTGAGCTTGAAGTGAATTTAAACTCCTCTTAGTAATTTGATATGACTTATATCGTCCTTATTTTTTAGAAGTAAAAATCTGGTAGGTACACTTAAGGATTAAGAGGCGACCAGGCTCAAAGTTTTGGAAGAGGTTTATAAATTATAGCTTAGGGGGGTCTGTAGTGGACTATTTTGACTTGGCGTCACTGTAGTAGGTGTACTTGTTGTTTATTGTTCTGGGGTTTGCTAGTGATGGGGAGTTTGGGCTGTAGGTCTTTTTGTGAGGGCTGTTGGAGGCGGGGTCGGGTTTGTAAGGAGGGATTGGGTGGTGGTTGTAGTCAAGTTCGCTAGTGGGGATACCCTCTCTGGGTGCAATGTGTCTTTTAGAAGCGGTGAAGCAAGGGGAGTTGAGGGAGGAATCTTCGTGTTGGGCTTCATACCTGAGGTCTTGGTTTACTCTAGGGTTGGAGAATTCTTCCCTTGCTTGGGAGGTTTCTCAGCTAGGTCTGTTCTTTCTCCCGAGGCTTGGGGTTGAGTACATTGAGCTATTTATGTGTCTTTTAGGTGTGCCTGAAATTTCTCTTCTTTCATTACTTCTGTTTAATTCTCTTCCTCTTGTATCAAGAGATTTCTGAGAACCAATGTAAACGATACTACTGGAAGGAGGTTCTTCATGGTTTTGAGAAATGCTTCTTTTCTCCATAACACGAGGTTGATGGACTCTATCTAACTCATTTCTGGCTGAGATTTCATATTGATGAGGATTATCTGCGGAACTCTCAACTATAGATCTGTTCATTGATCTTGGCCTTTTGATCGGCACCTCTTCAATCACAGTAATTTTGTCTTCGCACCTGCATGGCTTGTTATTATCCTTATAGATATGGAAATCATTTGCTAAAGTTTTGAGATTTTCATCAAGGAGCTTAATATCTTCAATTGCTGCTGACTTAATACCATCGATTTCCTTAAAGACTTCTTCTCTAAATTCTGCTTCGTTATCATCCCGTATTAGGTCTTCAAGGTCTGCTAATTTAGCCTCGAATTCCTTCTTAAGGTCTTCAGCTACTCCTTCAGTGTATTTCTCAATGTCCTTGAGGTCAAACTTTGAGGTTTCTTTCTCAAGAGAAGTTATTTTACTGCCAAATTCCTTTCTCAGGTCATTGGCAATTCCTTCGGTATACTCCTCAATCTCTTGGGGTTCTAAACTAGACTTAGATTTTAGCTGGTTAGTCTGAGTGACTAATTTGTCCATGTTGGGTGTGATCTCGTCAAAAAGTTTCCCGTGACGAACAGAGATAGTCTCAAGTCTTTCCAATCTGCCTTCTATTGCCTGTGCGTTTATCTCAGGAGTGGCCTTAGTCACTTGGCTAGATTTGAGAATGTTAACTTTCTTAGTGATATTCATATCGGTATCTTCTACTCTATCCTCTATTTCATTTATCCTTTGGTACAAGTCCTGCAAGTCCTTGATATTAGTCTTCTTGATGTTGTCTGTCTTAGTAGAGATATTCGCTAAATTAATATCTCTTTTGTCATTATCTCCCTCAATCTGACTAATTTGAGAGTTGATTTTTCTGATAGAAGTTTCAACTTCTCTCCTGAGATCGCTAAGAAGGGGCTCTACTGCTTTCGCATTGTCTATATTTGATGGCTTGATTTTTCCTAGCTTGGCTTTATCCTTTTTCATTTTATTTTCTAAGACTTCCAAGCGAGAATCTAATTTGGAAACCTCAGAGTCTGTGTAACTCTTTGAGTCATCTTTAACTTCATTGATATGGTTGTCAACAAGCCTTTGCTTGCGGTCGTAGTCCATCTCGTTCATGCCAGATTTTCTTTCGGACTCATCGATTCTTTTGGTTAGAACATCAATGTCGCTCTGAAGCTCTTTGACCAGCTTTTGGCATGATTTAAAGTGGTTTGCCAATGTATGTACCTGCAACTGAGTCTTAGAGTGTTCTCTATTATCAGAATTGTCTGTTACATTCATTTCTCTCAGCTTGGAGTCTATAGTGTGCTCGACTAGCCGTTGGATATCCGAAGCTGGAATAATTTCTGATTTAACTTTTCTCTTAAGGTCATCTAGCTTGCTTGAGTAAAACTCCTCATTGTCAGATATGCTCTTGCTGAGATGACTGTTACTTTTGCGCACATCGTCTCTCATTTTATCAAGTTCTTTGAACAGGAATTTGCGAAGATGGGAGGTTAGCCCATCTTTAGCACTACTTGTGTGTTCTTCAGGGTCATAGTTCTGGATTTCATTGAACTTTTCATTTATGCTGACTGATTTTCTGTTATCTTTTAGCCTTGAGAGTCCATTTTGGAATTCAAATTTTGAGCTGCTGTTGCTCTTAATGGGAGTATGATACTTTAGAGATGAGTGATCTGTCTTTTCATTTTCGAATGATTCAAAAGCATGGGTTCTAAAATCTCTATGCTTATCGATGAGTCCTCCTTCATAGAGCTTCTTGCTCCGAGGCAAGAGTTTGTGAGAGAAACAATTTTCATCAACGGTTTTTCTCATCTTATCATACGCAGTTAAATTTTTAGTACTGCTTGAGTTGAAACCACCAGTATTAAGTCGAGGATGAAGCGTACTCTCTTGGTCACGTTCTAGGCTGCCTGTCGAAGTGTTGTCATCATATCTGATAGGCCTTTGTTTTGCCCTGCTGCTATCAATGCCAGTATTTCCGAAGATGTCCTTAATACTTCTCTTAGGCAGTTTAGAGTCTCCTCCAACGGAGTCTCCATCAGAAATGCTGTAATCTTTGAGGTTAAACCTCTTACGTTCAGCTTTTAAGATACTGTTCTGGAAAATGTTAGGCTCTATGTCCATTGCTCGAGCCTTAGCTCCCCAACTCATGTTGCTAGAAATAAATTTAGTTAAAATTATTTGGAGTCTATTTTTGAGTCTTTTTAAGGGGTTTTGGGGTTTTGGGGTTTTGGGGTTTTGGGGTTTTGGGG